GATGAGTGGTGTATGATGAGTGGTGTATGATGAGTGGTGTATGATGAGTGGTGTATGATGAGTGGTGTATGATGAGTGGTGTATGATGAGTGGTGTATGATGAGTGGTGTATGATGAGTGGTGGTTGAACAGCTGTTGAATGTCCGTAACACGGAAGTTTTGCACACTAAACTTCCTTTGATGATACACTTCACACAACCTCACAGCTTCGCTGAACACATCCGCCCAACGGCCAGCTGAGTGCTTCCTACGGGCATTCAACGGGTATGGCTGGTCCTTCTCCTGATCACCTGGCAGCCGAAACAGTCGCGTCGCCGCTCCCGGTCGACCCCCACCGGTGACCGTACCGCATGTGCTGCGAAAAAGCTCGGCGCTTGGTGTCGGTGGCAACGCCACGGACCCTGGTTCCGCGAGGTGTTGATTTTTAGGATATAAGATCCCTAGGGCTCCAAGCATCTCCTCAGGTTCGGTGGTTAGACCCCCCTGGCACCCACCCCTGTCCCATCTTCGAAACGGAGGTGGGCCAGGAGCCCTGGGGGATGTTATAAGGAAGTGTCGTGCACAGGATCCATGATGCCCAATGTGTCATGTCAGTATTGTTTGCAGATTCCTTTGGACTGTGCTGTGTCCCATGCCGCTTAAGACTGTCTGCATGTGTTTTTGTGGTTCGGTGCCTCTTTTCCAGGTGATTTTGAGGTGCCTGATTCCATTCCAGTTGCAATGGTGCTTTGGGAGGTATCTTTGGTGGACCGGTATCGACAGGGGTGCGAAGTGGACAGAACCATCCTGAATGGAACAAATAAGGAACAACTCCCTATAGAGCCTGAGTGACCTCTGGATCACCAACCACCCCAAGTATGGTGAAACTTCCTATCAAAGGTCCTGTTTGGGCTGTCAGGGGATCAGTTTCCCCACCCCGAGAAGTCTATAGGACTTGAAAATACCTTCTTTCGAAAGGAAGACCGGGTGTCTCTGCGCTGCGCTTGTTTTTGAACCGCGAGACGGCGCCACGTGACGAACTAGACTAGGGCTCCGTCGATGGCCGAGTCGAAGTCACTTCATCTGAAGCTTACGACCTCAAACCTCGAGTCAACGTACTGTACAGCACAGGCAACATGGTCCCATGGTCCCATGGTCATGGTCCCATGAGTCTCATGGTCCAGGTCACCATTTTCATGGGACTGGAACATTGACCTGGACCATCCAATTCATGGGCCCGAATCCTCTGGAGAGGTCTGGGGTCTCCAACCCCTTGGGTTTTGAGGGACCGCGGACCGCTGTGAACGGAGCGTCTGGGTGGACCATCCTCTACCAAGGGCACCACCCTATGGCCAAAACAAAGGTTTTTTGATGGAAACCAGGTTTTAAGATTCATGACCCATAGTTTTGAGCGTAGTTGAAAACACCTTGCAAAAACCAGGTTTTTGGCATGTGGCCTTGCAAAGGTCCCCCCCTACACAACTCCTAGGGCCATTTGGGCTCCTGGCAGGGCTGCTGGGGTAGCCTTGCATACAGATCTATTGAGAACATCTTGCCCATCATGAGGACAACATACCATTGAATCCCAAAGGTGATTTCATTTCAAGCTTCTGATGTGTCACACTTGGACAGATACCACTTTGAAATGGTCTAGATAGATCTGTTAGATCTGATGCATCCTGGATCCATATCCCTTCCCTTGCCATTCGCTTTTTGCTGCGCTCAAGCTTGCAGCTGGTGAGTGGCCGCAGTCTCAGGTCGCCTGCGTCACCGCTGATGAATGGGAATGAAAGGTTCAACAAGTGGAAACAAGTCTGAAGGGCTGTTTGGCCTTCTAGATGTGTCAAAGGGTGTTTTCCACGTCTGTTTTGGCACCTTTCCACAGCTCAACTTCTCTTTCAGTGAAGCCATTTTGAAGCTGGTAGAACCTTCACGGACCCACCCGGGCTTTATCCCAATATGCCTGATGAGCAGCCAGCACCACGCAGCCGCTGCAATGTGGAGCATGTCTGGCGGGAGTGGAAGGAATCTGCAGGTGTTAGACATGTGGCTGTGACACAAGATCGGCTTTTCCAATCGTCCAAGGGTGAACAGTCACAGGTCAAGTTCAACATCAAGGATTCCATCCAGAACCAATTGGTGATTGCACCTCTTCTTCGAAGGATGGCTGAGAGCCCTGACCACCCGATCCCTTGCATCAAAGATCTTGCAAAGGAGAACTTCTGCTGAATTATGACAATATGTCCCATATGTGTGATGTATGGGTGTTAAATAAGGCCACATGGACATGGATAGCTTTTATGAAAGACCAAGGACAGGCCCAACTTGTGTTAGTTTGTATGGGTTCCCTTCTTCATCTACCAGAGTTTTTGGACCCAACAAGATTGCTCTCTCAATCCGTGAAAGGATCAAGCTCTTCCGCTCCAAGATGCACCTTGTGCCGCAGAAGGAGAAGGTCAAGTTAGACTGCTGGTCCTGCAAGACGTTTTGCAGCTTCATCAAGATGAAAACCCACAAGAAACTGGGGTCAGTGGCTCCTTGACTTGGCGCGAGGTACAACATTCTTTACTTGGGGATGGTAATCAAATTTGGGAACCAAACCTATGAATGCACTGATGCACACAAACATTACATCCATATGCAGCACGCATATGTGTGAACCTCCGCCACCCAGTCCTATATGACAAATGCTATATATATCGCTCTATTTCTTTTACTACGCGCGCGAAACACATGTTTGTTGAACCCAGGACTATGAGTTTCTGAAGTTGCAGCGGATACTCGATCCAGAACTTCAGGCTGGACTTGGTTTGCCTCAAGTCTTTGATCTTCACTCAACCGATACCGCTCAATGCCGGCATATACCATGTTTGCTCATTGCAGTTTGATTTTGACATCCACACATTGCTTCTACTGATCACCCCCCGAGTCTTTTTGCAGATGTTTGCCGCTCGAGGAACCATATGCAGGAATACAAATGTTTAATCTCGATCCTTTCTACATATAGGTTGTGTAAATGTTGATAATTATAGTTGTTCAATTGAAATTGTCTTTCAACTTGAACCCTGCAGCCTTGCAATGCCACGAATGGAGATGTGCAGACTGACGGGAGCACAGATGGCGGTGAGGAGATGGTTGTCTTCCAATCTGAGGATGAAGAGTCGCAGAGCGAAGATGACTCCTGGTTCGACCAGCTCATCACTTCCGGGCTATCCAAACTTTCAGAAGAATGTGCTTCGTTGGAGGATCCGGCTCCTGATACTCAGCCTTTGCTGCACGAGTTCAGCCATTGGGAAGACTCACAGGTGGAATGCTCTCTTTTGGATCTTTTTGAGCCAAACAAGTCAGAAGCAACCAGCCGTCCAGTTGCTCGCCCCCTTCAAGGTGATGTGCACATGCAGGAGGGCCCACTGGATCCACCGCCAGATGTCCTCTTGGTGGAGGACTCCCCTGTTTCCACAAAGATTGAGGCCAAGAGTGGAGCAACTGCTGCACAGCCTATGGGTGATACACTGGCTGGGAAGCGAGCCCATGTCGAATTCTTGAAGAAGAAGCTTTTGGAGCTGGAGTCAGCTATCAACAAAAGCGAGTCTGGCGCTCAGCATGTCCAGTCACTGGATGGCTTTCGGAATCTATGATCAAGCCTTTATATAACTTATAATGCCACTGAAATTCCGCCAATTGTAAGTATAGAATGGGAAGAGCGGTCAATGTTTTCACTTTTGCAGGTCAAGCTTCAATTTGCAGTAATGCGACGTTGAAACAAGTTTGTGGCATTCCTCAGGATCCTGGAGGTGGAAGTGAAGAACGAGGTGAAGGAAATGAAGGCTGCCGCTGAATCTCCTGCCGAGTCCTCAAGCAAGCAGCCTTGGGTGGTGATGGAATCTCTACCCTACGGCGGTGACAATGACGGTACTTTGCCAATGGACTTGGGAGGAGGTCTTCCGGCTCCTGTGGGCCTTTTGCTTCAAAAGGCACATCAACAGCAAGAGCCAAACAAGCCTCCTACATCTTCGAGTTTGGCGGATGGAAAGAAGCCTGAGACCCATGAGGCATCCATTTTGATGTGGTTTCCTGTTTTTAGTTCTCAAAGGAAAGCTTCTCCAGCACAAGCTGTAAAAATACAAAACGTAAGCTGTTGTTTTTCCATGTGTGAGGGTCTTCACAAGAAACTGGGCAATTTCCATATATTGATGTTATAAGCAGGCCTATATGCAGCGCAGGCTTTCAAACAATTTCAATTTGTTGGGTATGTATCTCGAGCTTGCACCATGAATATTACCCATGCATTCTATCGCAATAATCCCGCTGCAGATTCTTCTTCGTCGCCAGCAGCTCAAAATGAATGAGAAGAAGGAAGGGCCTGAGGATGGTGAGAAAAAATCTACAGTGGCACGAGGTGGTGGCCGTGGAAGGGGACGTGGTCGGGGCAGGGGTCGTGCCCAGGCTTCTAATGCAGCATCTTTGCCAGAGCATCCACAGGATCCAAAGAAGAAGACTCTTGAGGGTGAGTCCATGGAAGTGGAAGATCCGAAAGAAGCAAAGGGGACGCCTGCTACTCCTCCACGCCGCCGCTTGAGACGGCTGCCAAGTTCGCCTGCCCCTGAGGCCCCTGAGGCTCCTGAGGGTAAGCTTGAAGAGAAGATTGCATCCCCACCAGTGAAGCAGCCAAAAAAGCGGAGCAAGAAGAACACTCCCAAGAAGAAGCCCAAGCAGCCTGAGCCCGAGGCCAATGCTGAGGCCGCAAGCTCTGCGCCCATGCAAAGCGTGGAGGAAACCAAGCCAGCAGGCAAGGCCAAGGCTCGCAAGCGAGCAACCAAGGCCGACCCCAAGGAGCCCGAAGGTGCTGATCCTGCTTTGCCACCAGCTGATGCTAATGGTAGTTCGGAATTGAACAATTCCAAAGAGGCTGAGGCTGAGACAACTGGAAAAAAGAAACCTCCTGGAGAATCCTTGCGCAGGTTTGCAATGGACCACCTGATTGAGACCCGCCGGGATGATGCTGCATGGCATCATGCTCTAAAGCTGTTTAGAGCGAAAGATGTCTCCCAGAAATCATTTATGGAGAAGTATGACTACTGGAGCTTGAGCATGTATTGGAAGACATGCCGAGTGGGTCTTCTCCAGAAGGTGCCGAAGCTTGAGAAGCCAGTTCATGTTCTCAGCTTTGGTGGAGGCCATTGCCAAACGATTGGCATGCCGCTGGAAGCTGTTCGGCTCTTCGTGGGGGTCTGAGTGTGTTATTGAATGATGTTTGCCAATCTATAAATTTGTATAAGATTTGGAGATGCTTTTTCATTGTTTTATATTTTCAATATGTTCCTATCAATTTCATCTATTTTCCAGCTAACTCAGATCATCTTCGTTGGGGGCGACAAGCGTGCGGACCAGCTCAAAAGTATGGAGGCGGAGGATGTGATCGCATACAAGGAAGCCCTGACCGAGCTAGTGAAAGCAGTTTCTGTGGCACAAGCTTTGGGGAAGCGCCCTGAGGATTTTGATTCGTAGACAATGACTTTGTCTACTAGTAATAGTTCCAACATGTGTGTGAGCTGCAGGCAATATATATAGCTGGGCCATCTATATTCAATTTCCATATGTGTCAGAACAAAGTGTTTTTTGCCTTGCAGCTCTGAAGACTTTCAGCCATAGCGGGGTTTTGTTTCGATGCTTCCATATATATACGGGCTAGACCTGGGGCTGGCGATCTCGTGGATGCCTACATGGCTGCTGTGGGTATAGGAACTTTTAGGAATGTCAGTTTGGCTGGCTGCCTTTTTCAAAAGCTATATGATTTGTTCTTGGATCATCTCATGGTATTTGTGAGTGTCAGCTCAATTGGCAGTTTGCGCTGGCATGAGTTCCGGTTTAGCAAGCGAAGCTTGTGAAGGCAGCTTGAAGCACCATTACATCAAATGCTAGCACATCCCAGAATCCCGTATCAGCGTTCGAAACATGAAAGAAAAGCTACAAGCATGAAGCACCTAAGGGTCCCATGCATGTGAGTGCAGAAGGCTTTCTTGCTGTGCTGTAAAATATGTATGAATTGTGTCATACCCTTGTGTCTCTGATGTCCATGCAAAATATACGATAATAAACAAAAGGGCCATAGAAATTTAATAGAGGTTGCTCTTCTCATCCCAGCTGTGCAGTTCAAGCCACTCCTGCTCCTCATGAGGTCTTGCGATGGGTCGCAAGCGGAAAGCCTGGGAGGTGAGGCTTCAAGAGGCGACAACTCTTGGGGATGGTGCCACCGGCTAAATTGTTTGGGGTTTGGGGGTGTTGGGAGCCGATTGCAACTCACACATATTAAAAAAATCGTATCAGTGGAATGGTCGAAACGTATATCTGAAACCGTTTTTTTAAGTGTTTTGCGTGGATTCAGTGAATGTCGATGCAATTGAGATATAGAAGTTTGAGAAAGCTCACCATGCAGGCTTGTGTACAGTTGTATCTGTTTGAAAGGGTGATCTGAACCATTTCATACAAATATAGGATTTGAATTCGTGTCTTTCAATCTGAGCTTCCAATCGACGGCTGCCGGCAGCTTGGCTAATGCGAAGCATTTGGCTCATGGTTGAAGAGTTTGATATCGTGACACCTGCTATGGAGGAACGACTTACCCTGCCCATGTTGATGTGGAGGCTTCACTGCTTGAAGGCCCCAAAGGCCGGAGCCTCATTGTGAAGGGTTTGGAGGAATGTCATGGTTATCGTAACATGTGTTAACAATGGTTATTTCAACACACCCCACAAAACAAAAAAGAAAACAATGTGGATTGCACTTATATGGATTCACCCTTTTTTCCTCGAGCCCTGCCCTGGCCCTGGGTGTTCAAACAGCTGCCCCAGGTCTTGATGTCGATCATCCTGATGCTGCTGTGGTCCTCCAATATTGCAACTCTGACAGAGGCTGGATGGTGTTCGTTCACTGGGTTTGCAATGTTCATAATTTATACGCAAGTATATTTATGCATTTCATACAAATTCTGAAGATGCAGATGCTTCCCATGAACGCAGTCTCATGTTTTGCAACTATATATATAGGCCTAAGGGGTTGGATTTCAAATGATGACTTACAATGAGACCATCTTGTAGACTTAAGCCACTGCAGGCCTACGACTTTGTGGAACTGTGGGCTGGAAAAGCGGTGACTACACAGGTGATCAGGAAAGCTGGTCGGGGTGTGGCAGCACTGGATATTGAATACTTCAGGGCAAATGACCAAGCTCCACATGGTTCCAACTACTTCGATATTTTGACACCAAGTGGGTTCTTGCATCCAGGATAAACAGAAACAACTGTTTTGGAATAGCTTGAACTCTTAACGTGTGTGTTTCTCTTGAACGCTTTGCTTCGAGAGATCTCTAGAAGCAGCCAACTTTGCAGGAGGGTTTGGTTCACATGTCAGAGCCCATTCCCAATCCAAGGCTGGCTGTGACTACCATCCTTAATGCCAAGCATGGTGCATTTACGGCTTTGATGGGTATTGTATGTTCTTCTTGGACGGTTGTCAACATGCACACCAGTGGACGGCATGTTACAACACCGCTTGGATGGGAACACCTGCGCTATGTAGATGATGCCAACTGCATGGCGTCCCGGTCTTTCGGCAATGTTTAAAAAGCACCTATCAAAACAATTTTACATATGACCCATAAATATATGTACTGAACACATTTGGCAAGTCCCATCCATCAGACATGAACAGAGTATTTCGACCCCCGCCCGCGTCTCAGGCTGTGTCTCCTCATCATGGTGGTCGAGGTGATGTCGGGAGTCTGGCTGGTGGAGCAGCCGGGGTCATCCCTATTGAGATACCATCCGCGTGTGTGTGAAACATTCTTGGCCCTTCGTGTTTTCTGGCTGATGAACGAACATGTTTCTGTTTGCAAATGTGAATTGCGAATTCATATTTGGCTGAGCTCCAACTGTCCCAACAACCTGAGTTCAAGAGTTCATAGTATTCAGGCAGGGGAGGTTATTCAACTGTCACCACAAATGGTTGCTTCTCTGTGCGCCTCCCCAAAAGGAAAGGAACCTCCAGGAGATGGCAGGAATTCATTACGCTGCACATCGGATGCAACAACTTTGTTGCCAACAGTAGACCTATATATATATACACCTGCATGACCCGTAAATTCACGGAACAAACACGTTGGGGTAAATGTTCTTGGGGTAAATCTGCATCATGAAACAAACACTCACCATATGTGTCAAGAACATGTGTCCTCCCAACGTCTCTTTCCAAGGAGGGAAGGAGAAATTGTATTTTCCAAAGATTGTTTAAACTGTGCATGTGCAAGCGCTAAAGGTGGTAGCGGTCCATCTGACTATATCCTGCGTGCAATGCAGTTTGGGTACCTCTTCTCAGGTTCAGGGTTCAAACATCAACCTCAACCGTCTTGAAGCCAAGGCCTGGGCTACACGCTTTTGGATGGGGAAGTATGGGGCCAAGACACCGAAGCGCCACATTACATGGTGTAATTCGAAGCATGTCAACCTCTTAAACCTCGGACGTCTTTCTGGCTGGAACTACAAGTCTGAGGAGTATGAGAAGCACCGGACTGCCACCACAAAGGTTGTTGGGGACAAGAAGACTTTTCAGGGTAAGAAGAAAGCATTGAAGAACAGCCAGTGCCTTTCTGTGGATCGTTTATTGGCATATGTTTGTTCTTGTTGGGGGGGTGAGTAAGGATTTGAACCTTTACAACCATCAGGCAAACAATGTATAAGCTTTGAATGGCAAGACTGCATTTTCAAAAAAATATATCTGTCGACCTATAGCTGCACGTATATGAATCGAATGTGAGTTCAGCCGGGCTTTCAACAACATTTATACTGTCTTAATTGCGTTGGTCTTGTGGTTTGGCACTATCTCCTGCCCAACAGAAGCTTTACATCCACCAGCTGTCGCATATGTGTAAATTGAATCTTACAAATATAAATGCATGTGTCCAATTTACAAAAGTGTTGCTTTGTGCATATACCCAGTCCATGGATCATGGCTGGTGGTTCACAACATTTGGGCTGAGGCACTATCCCTATCGATTCGGCCTTCGGGTACTACGGATTCTTCCAAAGCTTCAAGCTGATGGACCCAGAGTTTTTCCAGCTCCACCAGCTGACTTTGACCCACTACAGTGTTTCATGAGCCATGAATTCACGGACATGTGGGAGGATGCCGACATCCCACAAGCCCTGTGGTACATTCGAGGCAATCGTTCTTTGAATGTGCCAGCAGAGTGGAAACCACACTTCTTTCCCTCGATGGATTGCTTTGATTTTAGCGAAGGGCAAGCCTAAAATAGAAACAGGCTATAGCCAGTTACCTTTAATTCATGCAGCTGGTGGTGATGTTGGGACATTTTCGGGCTGGGTGTTCAAAAACCAGGTTTTCACCAATAGGCAACCCGTATAAAAAAACGTAGCCGTTGATAACCAATAAAAGTCCCGTTGATAACCCAGAAAAAGCCGTTGACTTTTACGTAGTTTTCCCGTAATCTGGTCATTTCCTGATTTCCATGATTTTCACATTTTTTGGATGCTCTGGGTCGGATCTGAGCCCCTTTCACCACCAATTTGGCGATGCCTTAGGAAGCCACAAGCATTTGTGGAGCAAAATGTGGGAATCATCTCATCTTCAATTATATTTGGAACATGTTGGAACTGTTGAGATGGGATGAACCCAGTCCATGCATGTGCAAATGTTTCTGCGTGATCATGTTCACTGATGTGCACTGTGTTAATAAATGGATTGTTCAACAAACTGATTAAATCTTTTGTGCCTTTGCAATTGTCTCGGAACAGCTCGACGTGTTATACCTGGACAAGTCACCCTGCCCCCCCTGCGACCATGTCATCCTTGCCTGAAACTGCGCCATCGAAGCTTTGGAGCTGCAGCTCCTTGCAACAGGGCAACGAGGAGCTTCTAGCTTCCAAGGTTGAGCCGGAGGACAAGAAGAGCCTACTACTTGCTAAGAAGCAGGTAGGGCCGGCCCCGCAAACATACAATCTGCTCGTATTATTAACAGTTCAAACCTGTGCAACTTGTGCTGAACAGGCTGCATGTATAGGTGTAGCTGTTCGGTTCGCTTGGAAGGCATTGGCAGAGGAACTGGCTCTGATTGAGATGGAAGTCCAAGTTGAGGACATTGTTTTTTGACATCTGTGGTTTGGGAGGCAAGACTTGAAATATATAAGCTTTCTTGAATTATAAGGAGCAAGTTGCAGAGGCAGAAACACAAGCAGCACCAGGGCTGAACTTAGATCCAGCGAGTGCGATATGATATATGAGGCCTATACTGAATCTATATGGAGGAAATACTGTAGATCGATCGATCAATGGATCTATATATATACCATCCCAGGCATCAGCGGAAGAAGTTCAAGATGCACTTGGAAAGCGTCCTCATCCTCCATCATCAAAGTCGACGCCTGTCAGAGAGCCGGCAAAGAAGCCATGTGTGCAGGACTGCATGTGGAGTTGCAAACACAACCTGCATTGCAAACACTATATGTTTCAGAAAATGTCTTTCTCAAGGGATTTGGAGAGATACATATATTAATAGACATGGGGACATGCATAAGATCTGAAGCTGAAAGTATATCTATATATCTATAATCTATATAACTGATTGTCCACACAGGCTTCGGCAGCGATGCCTCCAAAAGGGCCAGCAGCTGCCAAGACCAAGCCTGGGCAGAAGAAGGTCAGTGAGACTGCAGAGCAGGACCCATGCCAATGTCGTTTGCATATATGCAACACAATTGTGAATCCAAATGTGCATTTTGTGTGCCACTGCCCACACACACATGCAAGCTCATAGAAGCCTTCCATAATTCACCAGATCGTTTCTATATGAATATATATACACCACGTTGTTGAGGGGTGCCATTGTGCAAATATGGTTGCTTTTGCAGGAGTCTGATGTTGTCAAGAACCTCCAAGCGCAGCTCGATGCAGCAATGCAAGAACTGGCCAACATGAAGTTGGTCAATTCAGGGTCAGGTGGGCACACACCTTCGTCTGCTACCCGGACAACAGCTACACCTCCTTCCTCTGCGACTGGCACCCCATCGCCCAAGTCCGATGCCTCCAAGCCCAATGCTGTCCCCGAACCCAAAGCGGCAGCCAAACCAGCTGCTGAGGTAGGCATGGTGTGGGGACAGTTTTGCATGCGCAGTACTCCCCAAACTATGGGCGATACGTATCGGTATGTGTGTCAGTTTCATTCGATTCTCCCTCACTCTCTTTCTCATTATTGTGTGCATCGATCTATATATCTGAATGCGTGTTTATTTTTTGTAGTGCGACACCAGTGCACATTTGAAGACACATCCAGGAGAATGCCAATGGTGGCGGTGATGATTCCGGCAACCAGGCCACGAAGCGCTACAACATGATTGATGCCAGGCTCCGCAGGCTGTGCGAGAAGAAACCATCTGGAAAGTGCAATGTGCCGGATTGCATTCACCAGAAGTGGCTAAAGGGTGGATCAGATCGAGATGAGCTCAGGGTCATGTTCGAGAAGTACGATCTGGACAAGGACCAAACACACACACATAGAGCGCCTGCATCATAGAAAACATGTCAATGCTATCATTGGCATTCATATACTTATGTTTCTTATGCACTTTGTGTCACAATCAGGCTACAGGGGAATCAAGCAATCTAAGAACCAATTGAATAGACCTGGCTGTTGGGTTTTGCAGGCCCAATTCGTCAGCAACTGCGTGAACATGATCGAGAAGCAAAACTCTGAGACGCAGGAGGTGATCGCTGGATGGTTTACGCCAGAGCAGATGAAGACATCTCTTCATTGGTCATCGTGCATTGGACTATGTTAATGTTCACGCAGGTATAATGAATCTATATATGTGCATGCGCAGATGTCTATATAGCATGTCGATATAGTTGAAAACATGTCCAACTCTGTTCAACCCATCTGAGGGGCTACATCAAAGATGCCATCGCTTACTGTAAGCAGCATGGCTTGGTGAAGACACTTGGGATCAAACTATAACATGTGCGCACATGGCATTGCAGCTTTTGTTTGATGTGTCATACTAATCTTCCAAACAAATGGCCCAGTTGAACAAGGAATGACAAATACAGCAAGAAGCTCTGCAAGTACTATGTTGAATACTCCGACACGGAGAGCATGAAGAAATCCTACACGGAGACTGAGAGGCATAGCTCCACTAACTCCCAGGCCATGATGGAGAACACACACAAAAGCAAACAATGATTGATGCTGCATGGATGTGCATGTCTGTTTATCCAATTCAGGATGGTTTACAGAACACCTTTTTCTTCCAGAAATCCTTGTTGCATGAAATCGGTTTGGAATTCCAGGCCTCGGATGTGGTGCTCTCGGGCAACTTCTTGCAGCCCTCGGCGACGGTGACTTCGGATCCCGGTCCGGCCCAGACCCCACTTGAGGGGGACCCTTGGCGTTCAAGAAGTAAAAACAGAATGTATAATCATGTCTTTTCCATTCAATTCTCATATCTTGACTGTTGCAGCACCATATATATTACAATTGTCATGTCCGTTCGTTAGCCCCATCACAGGAGCTCGAAGTGGAGAAAAAATTTGAAGATGGTATGTTGACCAAAATGTCCAAGATCACTGATCTTATCTCCAAGTTGGATGCCCTGGCCAATGGAGAAGACCAGATCCGTGTTCAAAGGCCTACCCAACTTTGATGTCTATTGATTCAAACAGACTGCAAATATATGCAATTGGTGGACCATACATAACCCTCATAGCCCAAACCTATGAATCTTGTGGTCCTGCAGGTCCCAGAAAGCCTTGGAGGACAAGCTGTCCGCAGCACAGGAAGCATACGATGTTTTCGTGGAGCTCCGCTCTTCGTTGGGAGATGTGGAGAGAAGTGAAGCGTTCCCTGGCAGCCTTTCCTATAAAAGCCTTTATAAATGGCGACCGGGGTATGGATCTTTTGTTGAGCACATGTATGTACCAACTGTGTCCCATGTGCCATGCACATGTGATATCCATATATAAGGAACAGGGAGGAGATCAAGACCAAAATGCGCGATGCGATGAGCAAGAACATCAGCTGCATCTATATCATTTCGTTTTCCATGCAGTTGTTATTTAAGATGGTCAATAAATGCACCACTGATTCGACTTCCATACATCCTGTCCATCACAGGGCTTCCGCGCTGGCATCGGCGGAAGCTCAAGCAAAGTGCCTGGCCAAAAGTAGCCCATGATCCCATGACTCTTTTGCTGGTGTTTGCATTGAAGAGACCCGATTCCATCTCTTGAGCTTTTTTCTCGAACCTTAGGGCCTTGGAGAAATCCATCAAAAAGAAGAAGAAGGATTCTGCAGTGTCGGAGAGTTGAGTCCATGTATATAGCCTTTTGGCTTCCATTTGGTTTTGGATTGGGAGTGCGACAAGCTATCGCACTAATGTTTTGGAATGTTGTGGGAAATCTTTCCAATTGAGAAAGCACCAATGGTTTGACATGCAATCAATCGCCGATGGTGGTTGTTTCTTTGACCAGCTGTGCGTGTTACATCGACGCGTGCAGCTAAACTTCAGCTCACGAGGGGAAAAGCGCTAGCCTTATCGCAGGTGTTTCTGCTTGAAATCCAAGTATAGGGAAATTATAACTTAAACAATTGCAAAGCATGCATGCATACTGAAAGAAGGAGAACAACATGAACACAAACAAGCAAATTCATCCTTTCACCACCCTGCTCCATGCGCAGCATTCTTTGTATACAGATCGCGATATATGCTTTATTTCGATATCCGCAATCTAGAGATGTCTGATCGAGATGCATGTACACCCTCAAGATCACCAAGCCTCTTCGGATCTCTTGCCGGCTATCGCTCCAACCATGCCAGGTGAAGAACCTGAGTTGAACGGGTTGGCCCGACTTGTGGGAAATGGTGCCGGGCCCTCAACAGTATATGGGTGTGAGAGTCTGAGTATTGTTTTTCTGTTGATTGCCCGCTCATTCCGTAGTTCATTTTGGGTGGCTTCAGGGATAGGTCTGTGTCTGGGTGATGTTGTGATGGCGGACCGGCTATGCATCTACGAAGAGGAGTTGCGTGACCTACTCACCTATGAATGTGCAATAACGGGAAAAAGAAGATGTCCTCCATTCCAACATGATGTCTCTTTTGCAGAGAAACGACCTAAGAAGCTTTCCTGCATGCGCATGTTTCATTTGTTGTGGTTCCAGCTAGTGTTCTAATTTTAAAGGATGGATGGGTCATCCTATATATCTTATAAATGCGATGACGTGTATCTAACGTTGTTTTTG